GTTCAACAATTGGACCAATAATGCGTAAGTTTCATCAATTTTGTGCTGTGTAAGAGACTTAATTCCTTCTTTTTTCGTAAATTTTATTTTATTTTGGAAAATGATTTTTTTTTTTGAAAATGAAATTTCACAATTTTGACTCATCAAAATTTACTCTTTTTTCTTTCTCTCTCTGATTTGCCAAAAAAAAATTTCACTCGCCACTTTTTCGAAATAAAAAAAGAGTAAATATTTTATGAGTTTGTCAGCGAAAATAAATATTTGGGGAAGAAAATGTGGTTTCTCCATTCTATTGAACATAGTAAATGAGCAAAAATCATTAATGATTATTATCGATACAAAATATTAAAATTTGAAATACGAATTTGTGACGAATTTGATCTATTTATTCAGTCAAGTAATAGTTTAAAATTGTTTTCCGTAGAAGACTTTTCTACTTTCGCAAGACAACGGCAGTCAGTTGTTTTCATCGGTTGAATTGTAAGTGTAATAAGTTACATGTAACCTGGCTCTGTTTGATTATCTTGCTCTGTTTGACTACCCTTGTTGTACAGCTGAAATTGAGACAAATAAATAAAATCAAGTAATTAGAACTTCATTCGAAATGAATCGTTCTTGAATTCAACATAAAATCAAATGATACTTTTATTGTTAGTTTCGGATAATTATTGATGCCACATTTTTGACATGGGAAGTTCTGAATTGGTTGACTGTTAATTCTGTCGTATTCATCTCCACAAAAGATGCATTTATAGTATCCGCGCCAGTAATCGTCCGACATTGTTGTTCATTTTCTTTCTGAGCTGAACAAAAAAAAAATGTAAATTGGAAGAATTGAATGGTACTTGCGCTACGGTCAAAATGTGACTAATTTTCACTGGCATAACGCGATCCTTTCATACGCAACGATTGATTTCAATATTTTGTTTAATCGACATCTGAACGATTCCATAAATTTACAATGAATCATACGTGAAAATATATACAAAAATTGTTTATCACTTTCGTTGTTTATGCAATCGTCAGCGACTAATAACGAAAAGTCAAGAAAACAAACATTCAAAATGACTATTGAGCAGAACAAATAGATCTAATGGTGAGACAAAAATAAATGAAGATTTATCATTATCAAAGTGATTGAGTTGATTTTGTCCGAAATACAACAGCGACCATATTTCTGCTTAGATTTGGCTAATGACGACAAAGTTATCGACAAATATGATATTTATGCATGAAAGACTTACTTTGTGAATTCTAATAAAAATGATTCGAGGCAATTTCAAATGTATTCTGTTACATATGGTTAATTATTTTTTTTCTTTTTGGTTCATATTCTCTCGCATTTCTTAACTCTATCATAAAGAGTATTGTTAATTTGTCTCGAATTAAAAATCACCTTTTATTCACTTACTTAGTATTCGAGAAATTTTCACAAACCTTGAAATTTAACTAGAAATCCTGTAAAAATGATCGATCTACTACACAAAAGAAATTGAAATAAAAGATGCTTAGATTTATGTTTATATTTTGCCAAGTGACGAATTGGATCTATTTATTCAGTCAAAGTAATATTTTATTCAACAAAATTGTTTTTCGTAGAAGGTTTTTCTACTGTTGATTTGAATTGTCGTTGTCACTGATATCAGGCATAGATGGTAGGGGATGGAACAATTTCCTCTGCAGAAAAAAATAAAATTAAGTAGTAAGAATTCAATTCGAATTGAATCCTTCTTGAATTTAAAAAAAATCATGCTAATTCTCCATAATTCTCAAAATGTATTCAATTTAAAATGAAATCAAATGATAATTTTATTTACCTCACATATCGGATAATTAGTGACGCCACATTTTACACATTGGACGACCTGATTAACTAGCTGGTTAACGCTCTCGTATTCATTTTCACAATTTTTGCACCTATAGGATGCAAGATAATGAGCTAGCCAATGAACGTCCGACATTATTTCCAGCTTATTTAAGTTCCAGTTCTTAAATTTTAACCGAATAAAAATGTAATGTGTTGAGTGTTAACAGCAATTGCTTGCTTGTTGTCTGGAAATGACTATTTTCCCACTACATGAGTCTGTCCTTTTATACACCATTATCGCGCCCAAAATTGCAAACGTATTCATTTTGAAAGGAAATTACCATGCACTTTGTTTCGAAATTTTGTTTAAACAACATCTGAACACATGGATACGAGTTCTTTTGAAAATATTTCGCCAATACTTCAGAAATGCACAAACAAAGCACCACACAGGTTGATAACGAACTTATGAATTCACCTTCATTTGCCGATTCAACAAAATGACGCTCAATATTAAACAGTGATTGAGAATATATACAAAAATAGTTTAACAATGTCGATTTTATGATTCGTGCAATCGTTCTATATCATTGAATAATCACCAATATGTGGTATTATAATTCAATGCGATTAATTGCATTAAAACACATGAATCAGACAGAAGCGATAAATAAACAAAAGCTAGTTATATAAATTCTCAAATTGAATGATTTTTGCTCGAAGAAATGACAATCAAAGCTTGGTTACGATGATTTGTCATTTGCAAAGTGCTTGGATTGCATTTTCTGAGGAGCATGATAACAGCTAAAACTTTTTTGCTTGACTCCTTTTGAGAATGAATCATCTGCCATTGAATTTTTTTGACTTTGACTTGAATAAAAGTGTATCTTTTAAGATTTCACTTTCATTCGGCTTCAAAAAAAAACACTTTATCACAAAACAATTTCTTTTTTTATTAAAGGCGTAAGTATGTTGATACTTAAATAGAAACGCACAGAGTCTTGTTTATCTTTTGTCATGCATTGAGTTTATTCATTCATTCATAATAGTAATTGATGAAAAAAAAATTGTTTTCGGTAAAAATGTATTCTTCGGTTGAACGCAGCAATCATTTTTTATCATAGCGCGTTCGGAACTTCTTTCTAAAATTGATTCAATTGAATAAAATCATTAGATTTAAATTCGAATTTTTAATTTAATATTGCGACATCCTTTTTGTATTTCAAGTAAAAAAAACATATAAACATATTTTTTTAATGGCCGTATTAAAGATAAAGATAAAACCGAAACATAAATCAACTTACACCATAAACGGATAATTTAAGCTGCCACATTTTGTACATGGGGTACTGTGGTCCAATGCACTGTCTATAACGTCATACAAATCTCCACAATTGTTGCATTTAAAATGCGCGCGCCAGCAACCGTCCGACATTGTTGTTCCTTTTCTTTCAAAATTGAGCTGAACAAAAAAGTGTTAATTGGAAGATTTGAATATTACTTGCGCTACGGTCAGCATTTGACTAACTTACACTGGCATAAGGCGATCCCTTTTATACAACGATTAATCTCAAAATTATGTTTAAACAACATCTGAACGATTCGATAAAACAAAATGTTTATCACTTTCGTTGTTCATGCAAACGTCAACGATCGCGTTGCTTTTATTCGAATTGAAAAGATAAATCATATTTCCGCTAAGATTTATCTAATAACTCAACATGGTTATCGATGAATATGATATTCATGCGTGAAAGAGTTCGATAAGAATCCCTGAATGAGATCAAGAATTGAATAATCAGTAATTTCATGTTAAAACGCGTCTCCTTTGAAGATTTGAGTTTAAATTGAATTTTTACTGCATACTTTCACTGCCATGCAAAATATTTCGAAGATAAAAGAATGCATTTTACTTTCATATTAACTAGTTGTGAATATTTTGATTTTTATTCAAACGTTTTCAGGGAAATACTCACATTTTGAATTCTAAAGCAAAAGTTCTTTTTGGTTCATAATTTTTTACATTTATTTAACTCGAATTTAAATCGTTCCAGAAGTTTCAAAGAGACTCTGAAAAGTTAAACGACTTCAAAAAAGAATTTTTCAAAGTTCTAAAGCAAATTTTTGTCTTGATATTTTGTCTAGCTATAATTTTTTTATTAAATTAATAGAAACCAAATCACTTTCTGTAGACATTTATTGTTTGGTTCAAAGTGGTGATTAACACACGACCTGTGTTACGTGTGTGCACTGTTATCTGGAATTAAAATAGACAGATATCAATATGAAATAAAAACTCGAGTTGAATTTTAAATCGAATTTATAATTTGAACTAAAAGAATATAAACTATTTGAATATCTTTAAATGAAACAAACATATCTAAATTTCACATACGTCGATAGTGAAGGAGACAATGTGGACAGTTAATGTGGCCACATATGTGGCACGATATTTGTGTATATGGTTGTGGTGCAACATAATTAATGCTGCATGTGGTGTTACACCGACTACATCTGTAAAAAGTTGACCACACTTCCGACATTTTTTACCAACTTTTTTCTGTTTCCTTTAGTTTTATTGAATAAAAACTCGATTTGAATGGCTTGATCGTGCTTTTTACAGTGGAGGTACCAACGAAAATTGCCAACGTTAGGATTTCGAATGGAAACCATGCAGTGAACTTTCTGTTTATAAAACAACAAAATGGTGTCACTTGAGATAAACGATTGTGCTGGAAAAACAATCGAAGCCAAAACAATTTGATTCTGTATACAGTATTTTATTATCAAAAGTGAAGATAAATAAACATATTGAAACACGAAATTCCAGTTTATTTTGAGATTTTACTTGCCGATGTAAGTTTGTTTTTATTTTTATTTGGACTAAAAATTCATTTCATTTCACAGCAAAAAAAAAGATCTACCAAAAACAATGAACAATTTTCTTTGAAAGACCACATCCCTTGTAAATGATCAAGTCTAAACTTTTATTTAGCGCACCAAATCATTGAACTGTGGCTCGAATTAAAGAGTAAAAGAATTAGTTTCAAATCAAGTATATAAAAGAGATCTTAGTTATTATTTAACAGCACGTACGATGTATAGTCATGTTTTAATTCTTTGATCTTTTATTTGAAATACATTTGATTACAAAAAATAACAAAAAAATATATTTTATTTTGAATATGATGGCTGCATGTTAAAATTCAAAATAAAGAGGGCGAGAAAAGTTAGAAAAATTTGACGGCAAATCGATGCCTATATCTAAGAAATGAAATTAAATCAAATTAAATGTAACAAGAATAGTATCTATTTCAGTCGGTATTTTATCATCAATGTTTTTAGCATTCATTCACATCAGTGCCATTATCAATCAATAAATTCTTCGTTGTCTGAAAAATGAATAATAAAATCGGTTTAAGCTTGATTATTCGACTCTCTGCTTTTCAGATGAAAGTGACTTTACATTTCTTATAAGTTTTCGAACATAGTCTTCCTTTTATTTATGTATTCATAGATATCATCTTTCTCTTTATCTTGAAAATTAAATTAAGTTTCCATAAGAAAATGTCTCTATTAAATTATAATTTAAACCATCATTACCAGCATCCATTTCACGTGGTGTTTGATTCTTTTCGTCTTTCGCATTTACGTCTGCTCCACTATTAATCAAGGCCGTTTGCATTTCTTCATTGCCTGAAAAGTGAAAACAAATTGTAGAATTTCTCAATGTTTATTTTGAAATTTTTGGAATTACCATATAAGTAAGCAATATGAAGAGGCGTCTTCATGTACTCCTTTTCATATCCAGATGTAGCATTGATATTAGCTCCTTGTGTGATCAGATATTCAGCTAATTCCTTTGTACCTGAAACATTGATCAAATGAAGTATTTAACTTTGGCGCATTGATCGTACACACATAATATTAATTATTTAAAAAAAAATGAATAATTACCAAAAATAGCTGCGTAATGTAAAGGTGTTAGATTCCCTTCGTTTTTTGCATTAACGTCCGATCCATGTGCAATTAGACTCTTACAAGTCTTCAAATTGTCTGAAATGTTGAACAATTTAAAACAATTAATTTTTATTTAAAATTTAAAGGGGAAATTAATTGTATACCACTCATGGCAGCCACATGTAAAGGTATAAAACCTTCGTCATCAGTTTTGGCACTTATATTCGCTCCGCGTGCAATTAAATATTCAACCGTATCATTTGAGCCTGAAATATTAAGCAGATAAACAGTTAATAGCTAAGATCCACCAAAAACAATTCTAATTTCTGAACATCAAGACAATTACCGTATTGAGCGGCGTTATGGAGTGGTGTGTACTTTTCGAAGTCTTCAACATTCACGTTTGTTCCATTTGCGATTAGGATTTCGCATATTTCCAAATTATCTGAACGGTTATAAAGTAACATTGATTAGCTACGTGCGCAGATAAGAAATTGTTTATTCAAAATTGTACAAAATTACCGAACATTGCTGCTATATGAAGTAGAGTAAAATTATAATCGTTTTCATAATTCACATCAGCTCCATGTTCGATAAGATTTTTGAATATCTCCGTTTGACCTACAAAATATATAAAATTCTTGTTAATAAATACTTTTCTTTTCAATTCACAATTGAAAATTACCTTTAGCAACAGCCAATTGGAGTGGTGTGAACGGATACAAATTTTTATCAAACACATTCATATTTACACCATTATCGATTAGAAATGTGACTACATCTACATTGCCTAGATATAATCGGAAATAATTTAGATTTCATATAATTGATATTGAGTTTGAATAGTATTTTGAACGTTTTATTTTTTGGAGAAAAATGCGGATAGAACTCAATAAAAAATAAAATTAAAAAAAAAGATTGAAACCCGTTGTGGTCATATACAATACTAGATACAATATTGAACCGTTAAAGGAATATTCATCGTCTTCAACTAACCTGATTTAATGGCCTTGTAAAGATATTCACTGCCATCAGTACTGTTGACATTGTCTGAGAAAATTATTGAAAACATTGAAATAATTCATATCATATTTGTTACTAGGGATCGCTAGGGATGTTCAAGTTTCATTATTTTTTGGTCTTCACGTAAAATTACCTTGTACACTCGCACCGACGAGAAAAACGATCACAAATAAAAATTTCATCATCTTATTTGGTTGAATTAAACACTTTACGAATAACGGAACGAAGAGATTTATTGAAATATAAATATACAAAATGTGAAGTTACCGAAAGTATCTTCCAAATAGAATGATCACTTGTTGCGTTAAACCTCCATATTTATAGCAAAAATACCAGGTTAAGTGACAGTGAATATACATATAGCTGAGACAGATTAAAATCCTCAATTTCAATTCTGATTTTTAAATTTATGTCAAAACAACCAATTGCATTTGACACTGATAAGACATTTTACTTCTGTGTAACTAGTTGTGTGCGAAAATGTACAAATTAAGAATGTTGTTGGTATAACTTCTTTTAAGACGAAATCTGAATTTACCTTGAACACTTGAAACAAAAGGAACGATTACAATTATAAATCTCATCACACACACTTCATTAATAAATCAAATTAATTATTGCAATCAAATAGCACGAAAATAAAATGAAATTGATAATTCAAATGTGAAAACTTTCGTTAGTAAAAAATGATCATTTATTCCGTTTACCATTCAAATGTATAGCAAACGTTTGAATAACACGTGTACATTAAAATGATGTGAATAATCTGGTGCTGCTTATGATTAAAAAAAATGAAAAACAAGTGGAATGGCCATCATTCGTGCATCCAAAAATAATAAGACTCACGCGAATTTTTAATCAATGTTATTTTTGTTGAACCAAAAATTGATTTCATTTCACAGCGAAAAAAATCCATCCAATCGTTATAGAAGTTTTAAAAAAGAACTTGAAAAGTTAATCGACTTCAAAAAAGAATTTTCCCAGGGATATTAAAATGCCGAAATTTGTGTTGATATTTTGTCAAATTATGACCTATTTTATTCAATCATAATAGTAATTGAGTGGATCACTTTCTGATTCATCGGTTCAAATTGGTGATTAATACTGGTTAATTACGACGCATCTGGAATTAATATAGACAAGTATGAACATGAAATAAAACCTTTGAATTGATAATTTGATAGAAGAAATTTTACATACGACGAAAAGCGGATAATTTACTTGGCCACAAAGGTGGCACGGCACTAGTGTATATGAGTGTGGTGCAACATCATTGATGCTGTATGTGTTGTTACACCGACCACATCTATAAAACGTCCAGATTTCTGACATTCTTTTCTAAACTTCTTTCTGTTTCCTTTGGTTTTATTGAACAAAAACTCGATTTGAATGGCTTGATCGTGCTCTTTACAGTCGAGGTAACAACGAAAATTGCCAACGTTCAGATTTCGAATGGAAATAATGCGGTAAATTTTCTGTTTATAAAACCACAAAATGGTGTCACTTGAGAGGAAAAACAGTCGAAGCCAAAACAATTTAATTCTGTATACAGTATTTTATTATCAAAAGTGAAAATAAATAAATATATTTTTGTTGAAAACACATGACATTATTTCGAGTTTCTACTTGGTGTAAGGTTTCTACAAATCAAAACAATGATGTTCGTCTGAATTAATTTTAAAAATTTGAATCTCTTTTCGGAATAGCTTTCTATGAATTAATTAATTGAACTACGAGTTTTAATGCAAATAATTCTTTGTAAAAATGATCCATTGACATTTACAAAAGATATTTAAATAAAAATGCATCAATCTTTTATCAAGTGACGAATGAGGTGTATTTATTCAGTCATCAAAGTAATATATTATTTCACAAAATTATTTCTCGTTTTATTTTTCGGTTGAAAGAAAACGGCGATCCGTTTGGGGTTTTTGACCATCCTTGATTCCTTGAAGTGCAGCTGTAATTGATACAAATGAATAAAATCAAATAAATTATAATGCATTTGAAATTGAATATTAAATCGTTCTTGAATTTGAATAGATTTTTGTTGAATGCATACAATCAAAAATAAAATTATGCGAATCGATTTGCATCACCACCGGGTATCGGAAAATTAATGGTGTTACATAATATACATGGAAGTCCAAAGTTTGGTTGTGTGTTTACAAAGTCGTATTTGTGCCCACATTTGGTACACTCATAGAATGCGTGCCATCGATCGAACGGCATTGCTGTTCCTTTTTTATTCTTCCTCGAGTTTGTCTATGCAAAAATGCATTCAAATTGGATAACTGCTTATTTGTTGCTCGTTTGTCGCTCGAAAATTACTAATTTTGTATTACATTTGACGATCTATTTATACACGATCGAATTCAATACAAACTTATACGACTTTTTTTGAATACTAACAGTGATTGAGAATACATACAAATATAGTTTATCAATTTCGATTTTATGATTCGTGCAATCGTTGGCAAAATGGATCAATCACCTATATGTGGTGTTCAACATTGACACTTTTGGTAGATGTTTGTGTGTTTCGAATTTAATTACATTACTCAGACAGAAGCGATAAATAAACAAAAGCTAATTATATAAATTCTCAAATTGAATGATTTTAGCTCCCAGAAATGACAATCAAAGCTGATTTACGATGATTTATCATTTGCAAAGTGCTTGGATTGCATTTTCTGAGGAGCATGATAACAGCTTAAACTTTTTTGCTTGACTCCATTTGAGAATGAATCATCCGCCATTGAATTATTTCGACTTTGACTTAAATAAAAGTGCATCTTTTAAAATTTCACTTTCATTTGGCTTCAAAAAAAAATTGAACTATGATTTTTCATGCAAATATTTTTTTATTAAAGAAGTAAGTATGTTTTTTTAATCACTTGAGTTCAAAAAATTTCGATTTTTCGCTTCCTTTAAAATAATATTGTGGATTCATGCTTGACTTCGTGATTTCGCTTATTAATAACTTGAAGAAGTTTTATAGCACATTGAAGATTTGAGTTTAATTTAATTACTGCATACTATTTTCATCTCAATTTGTTGTAATTCAAATGATTTTTATTCAAAAGCTTTCAAGGAAATACTTACTTTGTGAATTCTAATGCAAATGATTCGAAGCCATACATGGGGCATTATGATGCGTAAAATATACATGTCCACAATTGGTGCATTTATAATGCGTGCGCCAACAATCGTCCGACATTGTTGTTCCCATGGTTGTTCCTTTTCTTTCTGATCTGAACAAAAAAAAAATGTTAATTGGAAGAATTGAATGTTATTTGCTTACTGTCCGAATTTGACTAATTTGCACTGGCATAAGGCGGTCCTTTTATATACAACGATTGATTTCAATATTTTGCTTAATCACCATCTGAACGATTCGATACATTTACAATGAATCATAAGTGAAAATATATACAAAAATTGTTTAATATATACAATCGTCAGCGACTAATAACGAAAAGTCAAGAAACCAAACATTCAAAATGACTATTGAGCAGAGCAAATAAATATAATGATGAGACAAAAATAAATGAAGATTTATCATTATCAAAGTGATTGAGTTCATTCTGTCCGAAATACAACAGCGACCATATTTCTGCTTAGATTTATCTAATGACGACAAGGTTATGGAAAAATATGATATTTGACAGCCTGATAGTAAAACCGAAATGGAAGAACTTGACCTTAAAAACATGATGCAAATTCTTCAGCGTATATAGAGAACTTTCAAATTTTAGAACAAAAGGAGTTTGTAAAAAATTGAGAGCAAAAACACGATATATCGATTATTTGTTTTTACCCGCAGGCTGGATATGTCGTGTTTTTGCTCTAAAGTTTGTCTATAGTTTTTTTCCTCGCAACAATCGGGACTTTGTTTTTACGCCGAAAAAATTGATTTTTACTTTTCCGCACACACCTAGTGTGTAAGGTAAAGTATTGGAATCGGTCGAAAAATTAACACCCTACAAAAACATGTTTTCTGGGTGTTTGAGAAGCCAGGGAACACGAATCTAGCGTTTTTTCGATGTCCTAATGTATGTGCGTGGTACCCTGTACCCTGTACGCTGTACGCAAAAATTTGTTAACACGATAACTTTCAAAGAAGAAAAGTAATTCAAAATGAATGCTTGGGAATAATAATGAAACTTAATTTTCGTTCAAACTGAAGTGTCCCTTCGAAATATTTCCAATAAAAGTGTCCCAAGTTTATATGGCAAACTATATACAAACTTGGGACACTTTTATTGGAAATATTCCGAAGGGACACTTCAGTTTGAACAAAAATTAAGTTTCATTATTATTCTCAACCATTCAAATCTGACTTCTCAGGATGATTGGGGGTGCCGAGGAATAGAAACCATTAGATTTTGAGCGACTTTGGTTGATACAGTGAAGTGTCATGTCTGGGGTGATGCCCATGGGCATTCATGGGAAAAATTCAATTTTTCTTCCAAAAGTGATATTTAATGTATACTTAAACACTCAAAAATATGTAAGTATTCACATAAAAATAACATTCCGAGGGTTTGAAATGATTTCAATGGATACCTCCCAAACAAAATTTTGGATTTTTTGCTCAAAAACAAAAATTTTGTATGGAAGGTACCACTCAATTGTATTGAAATTTCTTCAAACTTTCAGAATGTTAGCTTTTCGTGGGAAAAAAACCTCTGGAAATTTTCACATGATTACGATTCCATACAAGCATTTGAAAGTCTATCAAAAATTATTTGTATCGCAAGACTTATATCAGATTCAGTTTTCTCATGAATTCACATTCACGGTAAAAGATACGTAATAAATGCATATTGTGGATCACAGTGCGAAAAAGTTCATCTTACGGATGTAAGACATTTTATTTGAATTTTTTTTATGAAAAGTGTATCGAAAATTATTTGTATCGCAAAACTAACGTCATAACGGTTTAGAATACATTTAATATCACTTTTGGAAGAAAATTTGAATTTTTCCCATGGATGGCCATGGGCATCACACCAGACAAGACACTTTACTCTATCAACCAAAGTCGCTCAAAATCTAATGGTTTCTATTCCTCGGCACCCCCAATCATCCTGAGAAGTCAGATTTTGAATTACTTTTCTTCTTTGAAAGTTATCGTGTTAACAAATTTTTGCGTACAGCGTACAGGGTACAGGGTACGCACATACATTCGGACATCGAAAAAATGCTAGATTCGTGTTCGATGGCCCCAAAAACACCCAGAAAACACATTTTTGATGGGTGTTAATTTTTCGACCGATTCCAATACTTTACCTTACACACTAGGTGTGTGCGGAAAAGTAAAATTGTTGAATTTTCTTCTTCTTTTTCGTCTTCTGTTTTACGGGCGTCATTTATGATTATTTAAACAGTTTGTTGGCTTGGCGGATATTGTGAGGATACAGCTGTATCGTTGCCATATGAACGTTCACAGAAACAAGTATTCGAGTACGCTTACTCGCACTTGCGGTGAATAAATGTCCGGTCTCAAACCACCCGTGCCGGCTGTATTGTTTGGTGGATTTGGCAACCATGTCCAATTTGCCGACCCGCCTGCTGTCGAATTGTATTGCAAATTATCATAGTTGTTGTA